CAATGCAATATTAAAGAAAAAATTGAAAAAATTGAAATTCAACTAAAAAATGAAAAAATAAACAATAGTTTAAAAAAAACTAACAAAATACGTAAATACATAAAATATTTATATCTACTGATATCATGCACGCCACGCTTTTTTACAATTAAATCATTTTTCCTTACACTATTTTTAATTCGAATTTATTTTCTATTTTTTAGTTGGATTTTCTATAAAAGCGTATTTTGTTAGTTTTTTTAAACTTTTATTTATTTTTTAACTAGCGACCCGCCCTCGCTTCGCTTCGGAAACTGTAATTTATTATTGATTTCTTCACAGTTTAATGGGTGTTATTATATATATAAACCTTCCTCTTCAATTACTCTATCTATTAAAAAAACCGCATCAAAATCCATTGCGTAGTTTTAAAGATTTGTTTTATACTATAGTGATAATATATATGTCGTGGATAACGACTTTTAGTAATATTAAGACGGTGATTTTGATTATTATTTTAAATGATGAAATGTTGTTTTGATAAATATCACAAAATGAAGGGTAGACTCCGTAACGCCACAGTATAAAATGGCGGTACGTGGACAGAGTCGTAGCATTCGTGTCAGACAGTCATTCCGTCCGTCTCAGCAGTGAGTCTCTGACAGTCAGTCAGTCAGTCAGTCGGTATGTGCAACGAAACTGTCGGTTTATCCTGTCATTGTGAAAGTTGTGTGTGTTGAGTTTCAATAATTATTATTGAAAAATTTTATTGACTAAACTGAGTTCAATCGAATACGAGCGATGACGGAACCTACCGCTCAGCCATCCCTGACGTGTGCTGACATATATATAGTATAGTGATAATATTTTACTATCAAATTACATTATGTAGGAGGAATCTTTTGAAAACAGTAAAAAAAAACAGTGAGTAGGTCTCAATTATAAATGATTTAGATAGAAAGGCTTTTTTAGCGAGAACGCGAGAAGTGAAGTTGTGTGATTTGTCTTATTTGTCTATTTCGTATTTCCTTAGGTTTAAATGTGCAATAACGGTGGTCTATTAATTGTTTAGCATCCGCAAAAGTGCACAAATGTGGGAAAATGAAACAAGGCGGCTGAACATGCTTCTCAGGATCGTCCAAAAAGTATACTGAGAAAGTCTCAATAAATACTGTGCATTTTATTGTGATTATATTTCATCCCATACCATCTCATTTAGTTTAATTTCATCTCAGTTTATTAATGTCTCAATTTAATCATCTTCATTTCATTTCATTTCACTCCATATTATCATATTTCATAAAAATAAGACATGAACTAAAGGTCTTAGTTACTGGGTCATAAAATCCCTTTTAAAAAAGTTAGATAGAAAGGAGCAATAAGTTATGGTCATTTACTATGTAGGTAGCGTTAAAAATATTTTCTTCGCATAAAAGCGTCAATTCTTTTCATGGATTTGTCTAAAATTCAAAACTAACCTATATCGAAATATAAATATTGATTAAAATCGTTAGGGCTATCTCCACGATGCACGAAAGCTGTGTATGAAATTGAATGACTCGTGGTCATGCAATCACTAAAAGATTAATTTGAAAACAACTTAAGCACGTACCTAACGTCTTGTTTAGTCTCTATTCAATCGAATAAAATCTTACTGTTACTTCTAGATGCCATTATTACCAAAGGGCCGACCGCTAAACGAGCTAGTACGCATTTCGGTTTGACGGGCCGGATGACGATTATTAGGATAGCGATTAATTGATACTGTGACCTCATGTCTCAAGACGACTATGGGTAGTGAGTATTACAGCATGATTGCTAATTAAGACTAAGTGACCCGCTACTTCACTATTCGTCTATGTCAATATAAAATGAGTGTTGCGTTGCCTTATTATTTCTACAACAACAAAACTGTGTTTTTTTACACTCTATTTTATTCATTCTGAAGTCGTCGTGGCCTAAGAGATGAGATGTCCGCTGCATTCGTGTTGAGCGATGCACCGGTGTTCGAATCTCAGGCGGGTACCAATTTTTCTAATGAAATACGTACTCAACAAATGTTCACGATTTACTTCCACGGTGAAGGAATAACATCGTGTAATAAAAATCAAACCCGCAAAATTATAATTTGCAAAATTACTGGTGGTAGGACCTCTTTTGAGTCCGCGCGGGTACGTACCACCACCCTGCCTATTTCTGCTGTGAAGCAGTAATGCGTTTCGGTTTGAAGGGTGGGGCAGCCGTTGTACTGACACCTTAGAACTTATATCTCAAGGTGGGTGGCGCATTTACGTCGTAGATGTCTATGGGTTCCTGTAACTACTTAACACCAGGTGGGCTATGAGCTCAAAGCAAAGCCAGCCACCCATCAAAGCAATAAAAAAAGGGTGCGTGTACTTAGGTACGCGCGTAAGAAGTTATACTTTATTTTTATTAAATTTATTTCTTTTTTTAATATTAAATAATTCATAATGAATATCTAACATTAATAATTTAATAATATTTAGAATGAATTATATTAAATAATAATTTTGTCATTTATATTACTAAAAAATGAATGCTAATAACACTTTTTTTTACGAGTGTACATTGGCGAAAGTTCACCTGCGGCTATATTCAGACTCGCCAAGTTACGTCGGTCGTATTGTAATGGGCGATTTAGTGGGCAACTTCATTTCTGTTAATTTTGTGTCACGGTGCGCGCGCATCGTAAAATTTCACTCTCATCAATTTTTCATAACCCGCCTAAAGAAGTATAACTTCAAAAATCTAAATATTTTATTTACCATGTCGTATTTAGCTTGAATAAAGCTATTAAACTTTTCAATATTTATCATTTCAATATATAAGTCCGTGTGCATATAAAAGTTTGTATTGAAATTATAACAAGGGATAATGAAATAGCGCAGAGGTCACTGCACGATATTGGAATTGGCAATGGACGGCCATTGCACACTCAATACGATGCTCATTCCAATTTTTTTGCGTAATAAACACTACGTCATTTATTGATCACAAGCGTAAGCAAGATGGCACGTTAGGCAGACTCACTTCTTATAGCACTATTTGATAATCAGCCTCAAATCATTCCCCATAAAATCAAACAAGTTGATTCAGGCAATCATTAAATACTAGAGGTCCCGCATTCGTTGAAATTCGACTATAATTAATTGGAATTGTAAGTTTGTACAGTATTATGATTGTATTTTTAACGCCAAGACTGCACTATAGAAAAAAAATGTGTGCGTGTACTAGTGTACACACGTAAGAAGTGAAACTTGTTTATGGCCTTATTTTTCGAAAAATGATCTACATGCAACTTTCTAGAAATTGGTTAAATAAAGTTAAATTAGATAAAGTTTAAACAAAAGGATTTTATTATCATAGACATGAATACAAAAAAGTTAAATTAGATAAAGTTTAAACAAAAGGATTTTATTATCATAGACATGAATACAAAACAGATGGCGCGTAACGGAAAAATGTGACGCGTAACCGAAAAATGTGACGGTAAATTTTTTTCCAACGCCGATAAGGAAGTTTCACTTCAAATATTAATAAAGACAAACAATATTTAAAACAACAACAAACAAAAGTTTGACAATAAATAAATAGTGTGCATGCGTGTGTGTGTCAAATACATGGTAGTGTGTGTAATGTTTTTTTAATTGATTTAATTTATCTTTTATGCATTATTTTATAAAAATATTAGCATTGTGCACTCCTTCTCTATATTCTCTATAAGTGTGGAAAATTTCATACTCCTCCGTCCGCGCGATTTTTGTAAAAATGGATACAAAGTTTTTGCTTCACGTATTAATATATAGATATTTTATGTTTAGAATTCTTTTGTACGTGTACAAAACTCTTCCTATACGTTTATACCGATTTTGATGATTTTTGTGTGTATTCGAGTAGGTCTCTGAATGATTTTGAAGTGATACTACTGTTAGATTTTAAGATTTGATCTACTGTCAAGATTTTATAGATAGCTGGATAACGTCGGACGGGCTGGCTTGTGATTTGTAAACAATATCTTACATATTTCTGAAACGAGCAAGTATACTCCTGGATGGAAGTCATTTATGGATTCCAGTTCTTTCGCCTAACAAATCATAATAAAAACACGAGTCGTTCGCATCAAATATCAAACTCAGCATAAGTAATTAAAACGATCTTGATCTAGCAAGATTTCAGTTTACTTTGTAAAGATTAAATTGAATTGATTTTACCGAAGATTCCTTCGACAGTATTTTGACATAAAATATCCCGAACCATTCTGATGTCTAACAGTGGGTCATCAAAGGGCTTAGCTTATCGGAGCCCACAGGCGGCGATTTGACTCAGTGCTACTCTTACTTCTATAGGAATTAGTGAAAATGGTCTCCCTCGAGACACGCCTTAATCCGCATCTCACATTTCGTGACTTCGTGACTATACAAACTATAGTCTTTTGTAAAGAAAAATCTAGGTACATTTTTAGTCCATTTACTAAAAAAAATTGTCCTTTTGTATTATGCTAAGTTCAAGAATTGTGATTTAAGCAATGTACATATTATTATATACTACGTATGTACACTTGTGCCATTTTCATCAAAATTTTTTCTTCGTCGATTTCCTTGTCTAAAAAAAGAACCCTTGAGAGGGTTACAGGCGATCAGATAATTTGAGGACAAACTCATATATCCGATTATTGCTAATAGTATAGTAGAGTTGAAGCTTTAAGTTTTGGCACTTTGCTTTGGGATCATAAAATTCATAGTTATTGGTAATAATTAAGGCGGGGATGGCGATCACGCGTCGACATGATAATATATTTATATAAATTGTTTTTCAAAAAATTTGAAAATATTAAAAACTATAATAGGCAAAATCTGAAAACTGCGAAAATAAATTTGGTCTGTGAGAAATAGCTTGGGAGCACATCGAAATGCGGATTTAGTTAATTTCTAGGTTTTTATGGCTTAATCAGGTCCCATAATCCCGGTCCAGATTAACTTGTCGTTGGTTAAAATACATAATAATTATATAAAATATAATGTTTCCAGTATTTATTCGAAAAGCGTAACATAAATCAGGTACATCAAATGTTTGTCGTTTTATTTCAAATATAATTTGTGTCTGTTTGCCTTTCAGCTGCCTTGTTTTCTGGTTCCTTCGATTCTGAAATAAATCAGGAAAGGTGTGTTTAAAATATGACAGGTAATTGTTTTTCAAATGGACTTTTGTCATGACTACACAAGCAATGCCCGCAGAGGTGTAAACAACTTGGAACGTCTGATGGTCACTGGGAAAGTAGAAAAAACGTCGTAGAGGCTGGAGCCCCAAACGTTGATCCGACCAGATCTCCGAGCAAACCAGCGGACCACTTGGCGCTGCACTACACCAGGCAACTGACCGGAACCGATGGAGGCTGACAGTCGACAAGCTAAAACGGAGTCACGATCCTCAGCAATGAGGGAGCGATGGAGAAGAAGACACAATCAAGAAGTACAGTTGGGATCTGGCTCAGGTCAACTATTGGAATTTTCTTAAACAAGACAAATTTTCTTAAATGTTATACTTACCAATATCAGACTCCTTTGGTTCATTCCAAGGTTGCCTTTTTGAGGTACAAAACAATATAAAGAACAGGTTCCCGAAGAAGTATACTCCTGAAGCCACGAAGAATACTTTACGCCATTCCGATGGTTGGGTCTGGAAAAGGGTTGATTTCAATCAATATTTTCAATTAATTTCATTTTTCGATTCTAATCCCTTAACCTGAATTTGATTTTTATTTTGCAAACGTGAGAATGAGCTCATGGACCAGTTGGTATTAAGTGGTTGCATACATGCACAGACCTCACAATTTTATTGTGTAATGGTTGCCCCACTGGAATTTAAATCATCCTAGATCTCCGAGTGCATAGTTTGAATCTGTGATCGAATATCATATCTCATTACACGAACTGCATTGTCTGTGTTTGATTCAGGTCCATAAAATATCATTAATATGAGTAATAGAGTATAGAGAAGGTCACCAAAATCCTGGGACTACCTCGTCGTTAACGATGAAGCCGCAAACCAAAGGAGCGATGATCGAAATAATATTGGCCAAGAAGTTGGTGATGCCCATTAGTGATGCGCTGAAATTTGGAGCCAAATCGATGTGTACTAGCTGTAAAAAATAAATAAAGCATTAAAAATGACATTCTAAGAGCTTCCCCTACTCGCAAATATCAACCACGGATCAGTTTTAACTGCTTGGGCGCGATATTCTTGTTGAGAGTTTGCGAAATTTACTTGAGAATATTTTGACGCCATTGAGGTTCTTTACGGCATAAAGTTAAGGAGTCACTGACCAAGTATCCGGTGTACTGCCCAGCATTGATACCGACTGCCACTGTTAACATCACCACAGCCAGTACTGTGTCTCCGGCTGGTGCGTATGATAACCCAATGAGCGCTAAAGCTGGACCCCAATGACCTGAAACAAGTAATTCATTACAAATCACATTCTCACATTCTTTCATAACCCTGATACGCCCCGCTCTATGAACTTATTCGTGACTAGACTGTGGTGCATTAATCTTCGATGCGTTTCCAAGGGACATTTTTGCTCCATAATATCGTCAGGCTCAGGAGTCTTGCGAACACGAGCGTTAACATCGAAAAGGGTCCTTAACGGTAGGCAGCAGCCCAGTTGTCCCTTGATATGCCCAATATGTGTCAGTAATGGCAAATTAATAATTTAAGATCAAGTGGCCCGTACTGCGAAGCTATTTAGTTCTTCAAAATAAGACAGACACAAACTTGTTTTATTGTGTGAGCTTAGTGCGAGTTTTTTAACGTTTTCGATAGCGTAAAAGTTGACTCAAATTTGTATGCAGTTGGAACGTTTGCCTATGTTTGCCGCTAAGGACAATGTTCCAACTGCATACAAATTGGAGTTATCTAAGCACACTGAAGAAAAACCTAATTAGAATTTATAATTAGAATGAATATTAAATAAGAATTCATTTATTTATTCTAAGAATAATTATTTCTTATTTATTCTAAGAATAAATAAATGTATAAATACAATGATACCCAACTCACCTATAGTATTAAAGAGTTTCCTCGTATTGGACACGTTCAACCATTTGTTCCTTATAATCACGTCGGTCATGTAGCCCATGGGGAAACTCAGGATATACATGGATAAATACGGCAATGAAGACAAAACGCCGTTCTGTAATAAACAAAATAAATCTACTTATATTATTTTCTGGATATAACCCAGTGGGTTACATTGATATTCGCTGCTATTGACATCTGACGTGCGTTTTAGGTCAGGGGTCAAAGGCAGGACAAGTTCCAGAGGAAAAATAAAAGAATAAAGCAAATAGTTCATGAAATAATTCACTTCTATGAACCTGTACCTAAGAGCAGGTGTTAGTAGTTGCCTACTGCCTCTCTGCAATAGTATAGAATAGCCGGAATTAACTACAGCTACAGCGAGTATCAGTTGTTATAAATATTTTATGAACAGATATGAGTAGAAGGGTTATTTTGATAATATCCTGAAAAGCACCCCACGCTTTTTTACAATAAAAGAATTTTTTCTTACACTATTTTTAATTCAAATTTATTTTCTATTTTTTAGTTGGATTTTCTATAAAAGCGTATTTTGTTAGTTTTTTTAAACTATTATTTATTTTGACATGGCGACCCCGCGAACATGATTTGTTTTACCGTCTTCAAGTTGTATTCGAAGAATCTCATTAGATTTTTGTTAGCAAATCGTAAATAATTAAAAATACTAATTAGTTACACAATTTATATTTAATTAACTGTTTTGAACATAATTTATATTTGACATCCAAAACATTGTAGGGATTTTATTACAGCTTACGTTTAATTTCGAGTTGTCTTCGTGTCGTACATTTCTTTGATGCCGACTTCTCTACGATTTGTAATTAATAATACTAGTGGTCCCGCAGTAGTCGAAATTCGACTATAATTAATTGAAATTATACATTTGAACACTATTACTTATGATTCTATTTTCAAAGACTAATCACAAATTTCGCCAAGACTACACTATAGAAAAATATTAATAAAGACAAACAATATTTAATCTATTCTCAATTTGACCACAGACGTCAAGAACAAAAGTTTGACAATAAATAGTATGCATGCGTGTGTGCATCAAATACGTGGTAGTGTGTGTAATGTTTTCTTTATTGATTTAAGGTATTTTTAATGTATAATTTAAAAAAAATATTAGCATTGTGCATTTCTTCTCTATATTCTCTTATAAGTGTGGGAAATTTCATACTCCTCCGTCCGCGCAATTTTCGTAAAAAGGGATACAAAGTTTTTGCTTCACGTATTAATATATAGATACCAAAAGAAGTTCTCTGCGTATAATACCCATCCGCACTCCGTCCCATATCAATCAATCGTGATGGAAATCACAAGGAGTTCTCGTGTGCTGACAAACCATTCTCTGATCTATCTATCACCTTATGTTTTGCAAATGTTATTTGGTTTCTTTAACCTAGCACGCTACGGCTGTTAAAGTTTTTCAATTTAATTATTACTTTTCCAAGTGCATATTTTTGTTGTTCTTGTATTTTTCATAGCACAGCTGTTTAAATGTTAGCCCACGAATGAAAATTCATAATTCATTAAATGTGTACTCCATATAAATGTAAATTAAATCTAAATAATACCGAGTCTAACTAATCTAACTTTGCATTACGCTTAGTGAATTTATAACGAAACACTGATGTAATCATAATTTTAAAGCCTACACTACAGCAGATACCTACAATATGATAGAGCCTACGAATAAATAAGACTTATTATTTATTCGTAGAATAGAGCTCAATAACTTAAATAAAACGCAGTTTTCTCTTGTCATAAATGTCTGTAAGTATCAGTTATATGAGTATACCCGACATTAGATAATAATAACAGTTCTAAATGTTTACGAAAACCGTATAGGTACATAATTAATAAGAGCTCCAAGAAATTGTTTCTTCCGAAATATTTACAATGATTTTCAACGCCTGTGTAGTAATTTTATAACCAAATACGCAAATTTTGCCCAGACGCTCCTGCAGGGTTCACAATTTTATTGTTATTTGTTGTTTATTTTATTGTTATCGTTTTATTGTTATTGTGTTGGTGTGGTATCCAAACAACTTTAGACCACTTCTCTGATTCCACGATTTGTCTAACGAACATAATCAATTAGTATATAACAAGAAATTAGCTTAATATATTATTAGAAAGTTACAATTTAAAAAAATAGATTACACGGTTGCAAACTAGACAGGGCCGCATGTATTATCTTAGTTATGCGGCATTGTGGATGTTTATGAGCAACAATGATCACCCAAGCCCAAAGAGCTATCTATGAACACTGTTTTCAAGCAAAAAAACTGAGATGGTAGTTACATAAATACGACTTACATTTTTAAGATTCACGTTGAGGACTTTAGACATGTATGTTGGCATTTCCGTCATCAGAGTGAAGAATCCCCAGTTCTGACCGCAATGTGCAACTATCACTGCCCAGAACGGCAAGGAAGTCATGATCTTAAGCCATGGTGCAGGATATATCTATGGATAAAAAAGAACCGCTGTAATCCTAGGAGTCAGGCGCCGGTTATACGTCGTGGTTATTTGTTTTTGTTTCATGTTATTTGTAGAAGAATTCATAGAAGTTTCATTTGTAAGGATTAACGAATGCATTGCCAGGATAGTGGTACTACCCACACGAACTCACAACGCGCCTTAGTACGATTAAGTATGGCTATAAATTAATAAAGTTCTCGCGATTTTTAATACCGTATTCGTCATTCATTACAAAAATAAATCGTGAGCGCAATATACTCGTAATATTTATGCACAATCGTTTCAAATTAGTACTTTTCATCGAGGATCGACTAAGGCTTAATCATTTAACTACGGAGTCATCCGTCATCTTGCGTATCAGGCCCGTAGGCTGGACTTTGTAGTTTGAGGTGAAAATTTATAATTGTCTTCTGGACCATAGGTTTGCTGACACGAACTCCAACTCACGATATTAATGGCACTAATGCTGACATACAGGTCTGTAGCTTTGACATACAAATTCTTTAACTAAAAACATTTTTTTCTGCAAAACAACAAAATTTCTTTCCATTTATTCTCGAAACACCGTATTTACGAAGCACGTTGAAACGAAGACAGCAAAATCGTGCCTAATTTATAAAAAATCTCACCTTTTGCTCGCCAACACGTCCCAGAGAGACCTGTATATATTTGACTTCCTCTTTCGAAATGTATTTGGATGTCTCAGGGGAATCTGAGCCGAATATCAAGTAGACTACAGTCCAAATTGCCCCAAGGGTTCCGTTCGTATAGAATATGGCCTGCCAGCCCCAGTCTGTGGCTATAAACCCGGATATTATCAGTTGGATCGCTATACCTAATTGGCCACCTGAAAAGATGAATTTGGGATCGTGATCTAGTTAGATTGTGAAACAGTAAACCAGATGTACTAAATTTTATACAAAACTGAGGTCTATACTTTTTTTGTAAAATTTTGAATATCTTCATTTTTATTTATAGCTCCAACCAGATGTACTAAATTTTATACAAAACTGAGGTCTATACTTTTTTGTAAAATTTTGAATATCTTCATTTTTATTTATAGCTCCATGTTTTTTTTTATTGAAATGTTAAGAGGTATTCGAAGGAAGAATATAATAGTGGTTCTTTGACTTTATCTTCGGATCATATACTGGTTTATTCATTAAAATCTTATAATCCCCAAGAGTGAGCTTCAAGCAGGTAGGTGCCCATGTTACCCACGATAAAATTCTTTTTTATAAATATCTTTTTTCACTGATATTTAGGATATTCTATTTAACGTCGCGATATAAGGTCAACAAAGATAGAAAATTATTATTATGCGCTTTTCTGGAATCTGACATCCCTGAGTGTGAAGCATAGGGAATTCTAGAGGGAGGAATGTGTATGGAATATGAATGTAAGTCGTGCTGTTTACATCTTTCTCTCTCATTATTTTCACAGTTTCTTGCATTCTAAACAGTTTTGGAACAATAATAGTGTCGGAATGTTGAAGAAAAAATATTTTCTTTTACTTTAAGTGGATCGAGTATTTTAGCGAAGCGAAGATAAAGAATTCAAATCAAAAACACTACAACATTACTTCATATATACAAATCCGATTAGTATACTATATACCCTATACATCTGAGACAAGTTTATTGAACCAAGGGTTAAGCATCGTTTTTATCAAGAACATCCTAAAGCTTATACCGGCGTAGACAATGGTGGTGAGCAATCCTTTCTCTTCCAGAGGTACCCACTGGCTGACGAGATGGTGCATACAAGGGTACACGAATGCCTGCGTGAAGCCTTGGAGGATTCGGCAGACGCACACCAGTTTCCAATCACCCTGAAAAATGTAACAATTAATTGTCAATGAATTTTTGTGCATTAACGTGCATCAACGAAAAACACACAACCATTGTCGGTCCGTAAAATTGTACTAGCTTTGGTCCGATTAATAAACCAGCTTTAAATACAGTCCACTTTTATTCGAATAAACCTTGCACCCAACATCTCACCGCAACGGCGCCAACAAGAGTTGATTTACGCAACACTCAAAATCTAAAATGAACTACCCTTCCAGGTGATTCAGATAAGAATTAATATATTTCTGGATATTAATATATTTCCCGCTTATTCCTGCCGTGAAGCAGTAATGCGTTTCGGTTTGAAGGGTCGTTGTGACTATACTGAGACCTTAGAACTTATATCTCAAGGTGTGTGGCGCATTTACGTAGTAGATGTCTATGGGCTCCAGTAACTACTTAACACCAGGTGGGCTGTGAGCTCGTCCACAAGTCTAAGCAATAAAAAAAAAAAAAAAAAAAATTTGCAAAAATTTAAGAGACATGAGTCGCTTGTGACGTGAAAAGATAGGACTAAATCTTCCCAGTGTAAATCAGCTCTTTGAAATGGATTGTCAAAACGTCAAACATAACGTATAAAATATGTGATCAATATTATGTATAAACCAGTTTTACATATTCTGTTATCTTACAAGTTTACTGATAAGGAATGTGCAAGTGACACGATACAATTCCATGAAATATTATTGTGATTTACTCATATTTATATATAGGTATACGGTAATAAAACGAGGCCTTGCTCCATTGTGACCATGCATGAAAATTAATTAACTACTCGGCAACTTGGAGAGTAAAATGTCTCAACGTGACTGGCTGTGGTTAGGTAATGTTATATATAGGCTCCTGTGGTCGCTTAGCATCAAATGGGTCGTGGATTTAACTAACCATATATAAAAAATAAAAATAAATAAATCGAAATCAAATTAAGATTTCAGTTTAATCTGTTCGTAAGTGATACCTCGATGACACACTTGTTTTTTTTTTGCTTAGATAGGTGGACGAGTTCACGGCCCACCTGGTGTTAAGTGGTTACTGGAGCCCATAGACATCTACAACGTAAATGCGCCTCCCACCTTGAGATATAAGTTCTAAGGTCTCAATATAGTTACAACGGCTGCCCCACTCTTCACACCGAAACGTATTACTGCTTCACGGCAGAAATAGACAGGGTGGTGGAACCTACTCGTGCGGACTCACAAGAGGTTCTACCACCAGTAAAATTTAATTTAAGTTGTCTACAAATGCATTACACTTTAATGTGTGATGAGTCTGCTTAGTATTTATTTAAATTCCATTTAATTAAATTCAGAGCTAATTTTGTTTTTGAATTTTCAAATGATTCTTCTTATCAGCCGTGTGCTCTCTTGGCAGAGTGGTCGTGGTCATCAGTTCGGCTGTTGGTGCGCTTCACCAGACGTCGCCATTCCTCGAGTACTGCGGCCCTTCTTATACACTCGTTGACGGAATGGTTTAGAGCTGCCTTTATTTGGTCAGTCCATCGTAACGGTGATCTGCCGCGCGGTTTTGTATCCCCTATCGTGCCCTGCACCACAAGGCGCTCAACCGTGTCGTCGTATCCTCGCGACACATGTTCGAAGAAAGTGCAAAAAGCGACCCTGAACGATGGAGGATAGCCGCTGCTTTCAAGTGATACTTGATGGTTTATCTAAACTTGCATTAAAAGTGATAAAATTCTAAATATCTTCAGAATTTACGAGTATATGATAAAGTAGTTGAATAATCGGAAAATACCCTATTAATCTGTCAAAAAGCCGTAAGTACATCATCAACGCGCGTTATAAACAATATAATAATTTTAACGATATCCATCTAAGTCCTCGTGGACACTTTACTTTATTGCCTAATACATAAAAACCTCTCGTTTAAGAAAAACAAAATTATTTTTAATCTGATGTGACTAAAATCAGAGCATCTTAGTAATTACTATGCTATAATAATAAATACAGAAATAATTGCAATCGTTACCAGAAACATTGATTTTATTAAAGGCAGTAGAGTTCACGGGGCCTCTGATATTAAAATAAGACGGAGACTAGACAATTCATAAAGTGTATGTTGTACGTAGAACCGACAGTAAATAAATGGCACTTACAATTTTAGCGGCAGTCGGCAGGAGCAATGAGATCAACGCATTAACAGACACGGAGATGGTGATTAATGGTTTTCCGCCGAACTTTCTCGCTAGTTCACCAGCTGGCACCTGTAGTATCACGTAGCCCCAGAAGAATGAGGACAAGACCACGGACTGCACACTGTGACTCCAGTCGAAGAACTGTAAAATAATTACCTTATTTTAAGGTACGACGTTAAGGATCTTACGATCTGGTATTGTTCTATACTTGAGCAAAACATTAGACTTCTGACGCCAAACCAGACGCCTTTGGCATTGTTTTCGAGGAGAGCTGCAGATAATTGTCCATGTTTGCGCAGATACCGAATCTCACAGACACGGCATGTATTGAACATTGACATATGAGTCGTCGGAGAATCAGTAGGTTTGGAATAACGTCTACTTCATAAAAAATCGGTTTAGGTATATACTTATATACATAAAGGCGATTTATGTTTAGGCGATCCATATCATCTGGAACCGCCTGCGTTCATCGACAGTGCGTTTCCAGAGGCCTTTTTTGCCACGTACCATCCGGCTAAGGAATGAGCTCCCCTCCACGGTGTTTCCCGAGCGCTATGACATGTCCTTCTTTAAAAGAGCGGCTTGGCTCTGCCCCTGGCATTGCTGAAGTCCATGGGCGACGGTAACCACTCACCTTCAGGTGGGCCGTATGCTCATCTGCCTACAAGGGCAATAAGAAAAAGGCGAACAAGTTTTACGCAAAAGACAAGTCATGAATATTCAGAGTAGATAAACATTCTAAAATGAATATCAGAAACAAAGAAAAATACCTTTCAAATTGGAAAGTCGATTAATTTATTTCAAAAATACCATCGGGGCTAAAACCTTATCACTAGTACCTAGCATATCAATTAGATATACAAATAGATGATGGGGAATTGATTCCAGTGGTTCTGGGAAGCAAAGTGTGACATTGGATACTGACTAAATCATGCAGTCATCAGCTGCTTTGGCTACGGTCAAAAATATTTTCCTACAATATGGAATTCGAATTGACCACTACTATCTTTTTTGAAGTGGGCTGCCAAATAAGTAGCTGTAAACAAATGGTTTTAAGATAAAACTGTGAGAGATCTGCAAGATACTTGTTTGTTGAAATTTAATCAGATAAACTTTTATGTAATATCGTATTTATCTCATGACAAGTTTGAGATAGGACTGTGCCACACGGACAGGGCTTTATACTAAACAAACTATTTGTTTTCACCATTCAGCTGTTGAACAAATTACATTTCGTCTTCGCCTGTAAGGCTTATGACACATCGCAATGAGGCATATCACTTCTGAGCTCGCAATTCCGAGACTGGTATTATATAGGGACATTATAGTCGGACATACATCGATCCGGTCCTCATAGAAATTATAACCTGAATGTTCAGATATAATGTAGAAGACTCAAAGCGGCTGAGTCACAATAATGAAGTATTCGCTGAAATACGAAATATTTCGGCCTATGTACGCGGCATGGCAATGCGGCCTCCCGTCGGTAATTAGGCAAATTTAGAAAATCATAACTTAGTTATTTCCTACTCTATCATATTTTTTAGATTACTGACTTTTTTTTAGCGACTTTAAAAAAAATTGTAATTTTCTAATTTATCCTAAATCATTTGCATGTTACGATTTGATCTATATGCTTAGTTGTTATTCCAATACAGCAAAACTTCGGTTTCGTATGTTAAGATATGTTAGTATTGGAGTATAGTTTCGTGTACATCACGTTAAGTACGTACACTAACAATTTGCTTAAGGCTTAAATTTTCAATTAATTAATTACTAAAAAAGATTATCTATTATTTACATTACATTAAAAAAATTAGAATGAATGAATATTTTTAATGTATGTATTATTTATAGTTTTATTATTATAGTTATCATTTTTCGTGGTAATTGGTAACACGTGCATTAAATTTGCACTCTAGATTAAATTGTGAACGGGTAACAATGACCTCTATAAATTTTATAATCAATGAGACCTGGGGGTCAAAGCTAGTGGAATATTTCAGTGGAGTGTTGCGTCGTCGTCTGCTTCTACTTGGCACACATTTAAGTTATCTGAAGTGTGATAATTGATCGTATCGTTAAAATTAACAATTCAGCTAATTAGCATTTCGGTTTCTTTATTTTCCTGTAGACGCATTTTCTCATCTATAAAGTGAAAGAAGATAGGCGACGCAGATATTTTTCTGAGAGCTCGTGGAAAATTTGTTTAATTGTTTTCGATACTTACTTCGGGCAAAATGAGAGCTCGAGGTTTGTATATATCACCAAACTTGTACGACTATAGAATAGTTTTCTTTCTACATCTACTTCTGAGAATATTGAAGAGTGAATGAAGAAATAATCATAATTTGAAGTCGTGTGAAGTGAATTTTTTTGAAGTCGTCGTGGCCTAAAGCATAATGCGTCCGGTGCATTCGTATGTAGCGATGCACCGGTGTTCGAATCCCGCAGGCGGGTGCCAATTTTTCTAATGAAATACGTACTCAACAAAATCACGATTGACTTCCACGGTGAAGGAATAACATCGTGTAATAAAAATCAAACCCCCAAAATTATAATTTGCGTAATCACTGGTGGTAGGACCTCTTGGGAGTCCGCACGGGTAGGTACCACCACCCCGCCTATTTCCGCCGTAATTCGTTTCGGTTCGAAGGGTGGGGTAGCCGTTGTAACTATACTGAGACCTTAGAACTTATATCTCAAGGTGGGTGGCGCATTTACGTTGTAGATGTCTATGGGCTCCAGTAACCACTTAACATCAGGTGGGCTGTGAGCTCGTCCATCCATCTAAGCAATAAAAAAAAAAATATTTTGTTATTTAAATATTTTGATATTAGGATTATCTCCCATACTCCGAATATTACAATAGTTCACTTTGACAGCAATGCAATTCCTGTGCGACAAAGACGAAGGTTCAAACATCATCTACCATTACATGCCGTATTTGTAATGTGTCTTAAGTGAAGATACTTTTGCGTTAAGAAAATCATGAGTATAACACAAGTTGATAGGATTGTAGGCGTGGTTCGACCCAGGGTCAAAAACGTCACAGATTCCATCGGCACAATATTTCCTCTTGACTGCGTCGCAGTGACCTCTGCATCATCATATTATTATCATGACGTCCCCGAAACATGTGTGCATCCGTAAACAATTAGATGTTTCATCAGATGAACTTATTTTATAATCTGATCGTTCATGTGGCTTGTATTTTGACGGACTTAGACATTATGCTGTTAGACTATTAAAATCATTTCCCGTACAGTTTTATCACTCATTAAGCACCTCTTTCTTCTTCCTGAAAGATGTTCATACCTTTTCTGATCACAGTCGGGCCTTCTTTCCACATTTACTCCTGTTTTCTTTGGTCATTATTCTACGGCAGTGAAGACACCGACATTTGAATATAATTTATTTCAGTACAATATACTCATATCTTTATCATTCAGTCTTTACACTTCTGTAACACTAACTTCTAAATCATCATCAACTATAATTCCTTTTCTCATCCATAAATCATTTATAAAACTTACACGCTTGCCTGCTGAATTTTCACACCTATATTTTATCATCTGAACATATTCTATTTTATTGTTCTTCATTTCAGTTAATCCGTTGTCTTAAGCTGTTATTTCTATCACGCTTCTTACATCGAAGCTTACTTTTTTTTTTTGTTTTTACGTTACCACATCGAGTTTTGGTGGACAACCCTTGTTCATTTCTAAACGCCCTCGAAAGAAGCGCGTCAGCTCTATGTAATTCCTTAACCCTATTGTCCTGATCACGGTTCTTGAGACATGTTAGCCTTCGGCTGTGTGTTTATCACCGGTAACAAACCTTACGATACTGCCGTCATTACACGGCATTTAAAACATAAACTACAATATCATTATTAATTATTTAATAATTTTATTATCAAAAATCCAAATTAGTACGTAATAAAAATGTTATTGTAAACCATAACCAATTGACAAGAAATGTTATCAGAAGTTCAAAACTTATTTATTATTAGTAGTTTTTATCATTTTGTATTTTTACATAAAATAAATTAGTCAAAAGATCAATTCAAAAATGTTTAATATAAGTGTCATAATTTCACGAAAACTCGTGAATGTATGTAATTTGCCTTGCCGGGTTTCGTACCATTCAAGTACGCTTTGATATTTATGAGGATTGTTTATTGGGGATTTTTTTTTCCTACCTGTGCTGATAGCCTTGAGAGGCTATTTCAGCTTCGCCCTAACATGTAGGTGAGCTCACGCGGCTCGAACCGGTGTGTTGCTATCACTGGCCCTAGCAAAAGCAGGGCTTCGCAGAATCTACCACCGGAATTGGAGATAATGCGCCTCCTCTATACACAGAAAGAGCTATACAACATAATAATATGGAGAGGTAGTGCGTGTATGGGTCGATTAGTACAACTATCCTGCCTATTTCTGTCGCGAGGCAATAGGTAACTGTGTAACAAAGTTCGTTCTGATGTTTTTTGTTAAGACTGCGCTCCATTATTGAAAGTCCTGTCATGACAACTGCCCCACTTTTTGCTACTATGTAGTTCAGATTTATAGAAGGTTTACAGCTGTTTCGATGAAATTGAGATTTCGACCAAAATGCTTAAAAGGTTACATTATTTGTTATTCTTTTTGGGATTCTGTTCTAGTAAATATTTAATATGAAAGTAAAGTAAAATGAAGATTTAAAATAGTATACTCATTTTCTAATTAGAAGGGCATACCATTTCTTACAGAAAAAAAAAAATCAAGCAAGTGTTATTATTTTTAAACATAATATGTTCTTTCTTGAAATCCAAAACAAATTTTAATATATTTTTTTTTATTTACTTCAGTACACCAAGAGAGATAGGGTCATAATTGTTTTTTAAATAAAATCTGTAACTATGCCACCAAAAGTATCCATTTCAATAAATACATTAAAAATATTCTGTTTACTGAACAAACCTCGTCTTTCCTCTCATCAGTCATGTCTACGATGGCCATGCTTATGTTGACCCTCATCATGAACGCCACCAGCATCGCCAGGAAAAGCAGTATAGTCTGGACATGACGGATGCCTAGGCCTTCTGTTAAATATAAATAAATATATTAGAACACACTGGCTGTGCACTACTCTGCATTTTATCATAGCACAAGCCGCTATCATAGCAGAGGCTTTTTTTTTATTGCTTAGATGGGTGGACGTGCTCACAGCGCACCTGGTGTTAAGTGGTTACTGGAGCCCATAGACATCTACAACGTAAATGCGCCACCCATCTTGAGATATAAGTTCTAAGATCTTAGTATAGTCACAACGGCTGCCCCAACCTTCAAACCGAAACGCATTACTGCTACACGGCAGAAATAGGCGGGGTGGTAGTAACTACCCGCGCGGACTCACAAAAGGTCCTACCGCCAGTAAATCCACAGTCCTTCCAGAGATATTTTTCCCACTTAACATCTGGCTCTGGCTTCAGAATATTGCACTGTCATGAGATTTCTTCCTCAAAGTGAGCAGTAGGGAGCGAATTAGCTAAGTTATCTAATGTAATTGGAAACTAGTTTCTAGTTACTACATTGTATTCCATACTTTTATAATGTCAAACTCAGTAATAATATATGCATAATAAAGACGTAATTTTTTTTTTCATATTTTATGCAAATATATTTATTTATGTAAATTTAATAACACAGTTAGTCATACTTTTTGAATGAAGTACATTTTTATTTAAAATAAAGTCTTATTTAAATTTTAATTAAATTAAATTAAATTAAATAAAGTCTTATTAAAATAAAATCTTAACTCACTGGGTCTTATTTCCAACGCATTTGTAGCAACACCCATTTTTTCTCTTTTATTTTCATTTATTTATTTACAAATTTTTTTTGATGCACATCTTACAGAGTCTCGTATTCAGTGATAACTGAGTTCAATTCACTAACGTTGAATCACAAAAAATCTGTATTCATAAAACCATAGAGTCGAATTAAACTTTTTTTTATTTTATTTGTAATTTAATTTCTTATACTTTATACAATGCAATCTACAATACAGTAAAATATTGTATTTTATTTTAACATAAATAAAGAAATAAAAATACACTTATCGAACGATACACGACGACCGACTGTCTGTCTTATGTACCCTTTAGTTGATAGTAAAATGTGAAGCGAAACGTTGTATCTACGAAGGTTACCACGTTACATGTTTTATGTTAAATAGTAGTTTAAGGAAAAATTGGCGACGATTGTTACGACTAATGAAATGTAATATGAACCTACAAAAACAGATTCTTCTAAAATATAAAAGTAATATTGGAATCTTCTTTTTTTGTTTTTGTTTGTGTGTTTGTCAGTGTTTTACACTATCACTCGCCGTTTAGGCGATTAGTTGAGACGTTGTAGTGTTTATTGGCACTTTGGAGTTTTCAGGTGAGGTGGCAATTTAGAGACTGATCATCAAACATATTATGTTACAGAACTACTTCCTGAGTAGACGCAGCCCCTTGAATATTTATGGTGGCAGTCTTAACTGCTCAACAGATCGGTGGTTGGACTTGACGGTCTGCTGATGTTGGGAGCACCGTAGGTCCAAGAATATTTTTAGGGCCCTATCCACCAATCGAGTCACCCAAAGTCCGATCTCCACCCGAGGTCAGAACCCAGGTAGAGTACGGGGGTTACCGCAGTCAACAGCACAACCAGACACACCCAAATTGCGGGACGCGTCGATCCTATTTGCGAAAAGTGGGCACTGCACTGCTCCAGCCATGTGAGGCAGTGTGCGAGCGTGTGCTAGACGCTGTGCTCGTCACAGCCACAGCGGTGGCACTGCATCGTCGGTTCCCTCCGGGCGACGCAGTACAGGGACTGGCCGAAATAGCCATGGCTGTTGTGCATTTGCGTCAACGGGAAGATAAAACGTTCTCGTTCGCGGTTCACTCAGTCCACGAGGCACGAGAGCATCGTCTCAGCGGTCCGAAGAGGGGCCGACAGTTCTCTAAACGGCGAGACCACGCCTCTAGCACGGCCCACCGAGGCTCTGCGCCCTAATCGCTACTTCGACAGGACGTGCTTCCTTCCTGTTGTGGAGGTCGCATCGCCGCGCCTAATCGGTGGCGAGCGCCTCCATTTGTAGGTCCTGGGAGGCATCCCAGCAAAAGTGCACGCCGCCTAGAAGAAGACGATGCGATATCAACAGATCGCTTTGACTGCAATCGCACGCCCCATACTGTGCCACAGACCACATCACCCCCACGTAGACAGCGCACCACCGTGTCGCTTGGCAAAAGCGGGGTCAGCGAGCCAGCCGTCGTCATTAGCCGGAGATTCAAGCTACCGAAGTAAGCGCGGAAGTTCCAACGTCCGTTTTATTCGAGGTCAAGGTATCGCAACCCGGTCATACCGATCCTGACGCGCAAACCTCTAATCACTAGATGAGACCCGCGTGGTGGCTCTCTAGAGGTTCGGTCAAATAACGGGGCTTGGCGTTTATTGAGGGCCACCTCGAGGTCCTCACCTTTAGATTATTGAGTGCCACCTCGAGGTCACCATCTTTAGATCTGACATCTGCGTAATACACAATGCGTAGACCCGAGAGAGGGCTGTGGGAAGCGTTTTGCAGGACCCCGAGCCGAAATTTCAAAGAAGAGGGCTAAAAACCAAGACCTGTGGAGCACCGCGCTCAAATGGAATGTGGAGCATTGCATCACCGTATCTAGTGCACGTGACCTATCCTCGAAATAGTACCCCGGAGGTACTCGAGGGTAATGTGAAATTTGAGCGCTCCCGTAATCACTGACAAGGCCAAGATGTTGAAAGCGTTAGCGGTTCATGGCCCAAACCATCCCGCCCCAGGTGACAACTTCATCAGAGAGAACACGCAAGCGCATGATTGCGTGGATATTCGAGCCGCTCTCTCTGAGGTTTTATTGTTACGCAGCTAGATCGGGACCCATGTTGGTCAAGTGCAGGGCGATTCGGACGATGACGACTCGCTCAAATAATTTTCCCGCCTCGTCCAGCAACATGGGGCGATACCCGCGCCCATCCTTTCTCTGTAGGACGAGTCTGCCCATCTTCCACTTGGTCGGAAATCGTCCCGACTCAAGGCAGACTTCAAAAAGCTGCACTAGCCCATCCCCCCCAGTCGAGGCGATTGGCCAACCCCACGTGGGGGCTACGGACCGTCGAGGCGGTTTACCCGGTCTTTGATGACTGGGTGAATCGTGGCGAAGGACGTCTCACCTTTCGTCTGGTGCAGGTGCTGACCGGGCACGGATGCTTCGGGAAGTACCTGCGCCGGATAGGGGCTGAGCCGACGACGAGGTGTCACCATTGTGGACACGACCTGGACACGGCGGAGCATACGCTCGCTGTCTGCCCCGCTTGGGAGGTGCAGCGCCGTGTCCTGGTCGCAAAGATAGGACCTGACTTGTCGCTGCCTGGCGTCGTGGCGTCGATGCTTGGCAGCGATGAGTCATGGAAGGCTATGCTCGACTTCTGCGAGTGCACCATCTCGCAGAAGGAGGCGGCGGGGCGAGTGAGGGAAAGCTCTCCTCACTACGCAGAAACCCGCCGCCGCCGAGCAGGGGGTCGGGACCGGGGTCGTATCCGTGACCTGGCCCCCTAAGAGCTAGGGGTCCCACCCGTTTTGTGCGGGGAGGGACCCAGACGAGGGGTGGCGTGCTCTGCACGCTCACCCGCAATAGGAAGCCGGGTGATGGTAGACCGCGTTCCCCCGACCGCTCTGGGGGAAGGTGTAACGCGGCGCCATCAAAGCGGGCTCTCGGCCCGCTGAACGAGGGAACCGGTGGTCGTTTCGCTGGCGGCCACCGGTCCGGCGTCCGTGGGACGGTGGGATGGATGTAATGTGCTCTGCGTCAACCCTGTCCCGCCGTTTCAATAGCCCCGACTGGGCTCCGGCCCGGTCCGAGGTAGGGCGCCGGTTGTGAGCGGCAGGAGTTTTTAGTGAGGTTCAACTCCCACATACCCCACCTGCCGCGCGGGTGGGGATCCGGCGATTTTCTCATGTGGAAAAAAAAAAAAAAAAAGCCCATCCCCCAGAGCACCGAAGGCCAAAGTTACAAACGAGCATCTGGCCCTGACACCTGACATACTTATATACGTTTCAATATATATATTTATACATACATACGTATATTTACACATATATATATTACATTATATATATTATATACATTATATTTTTACTGGTGGTACGACCTCTTGTGAGTCCGCGCGGGTAGGTACCACCACCCTGCCTATTTCTGCCGTGAAGCAGTGCGTTTCGGTTTGAAGGGTCGGGCAGCCGTTGTAACTATACTTGAGACTTTAGAACTTATATCTCAAGGTGGGTGGCGCATTTACGTTGTAAATGTCTATGGGCTCCAGTAACAACTTAACACCAGGTGGGCTGTGAGCTCGTCCACCCATCTAAGCAATAAAAATATATATATTAATTATCCAAATCTATCACTTTCTCGATTAATGGATGTTAGCACTTAAAAACTCAGAAAAAGACATAGTTCTGATTTAAAAAAATCAAATACACACAGCATCTCTGCTGCTCTATCTGTTCTTCAAAATCTTATAATTTTAAAACGCAGATAGCTTGTCTTCAAGTTTAGGGGCTATCACTGGAGGGCGCGAGCAGTAATAAATACAGTTATGTGAAATAAAAATAGGTGCTATCGCAAACACATAAAGATTGTAGAGTCTGCATTAAAAAAAGTTCAGAACTAGCTTCGTTACGCGAATATAGTTCTTACACTGTGGGAATTGGTAAGTTAATAGTTTGAATTTCACTAACTTTGCTTTTTGACTTTTATTTCTATTTGTATTTTTATTGTCATGAACAATTATATTGTCAGCGTAAATTGAATGTGCTTTTAAATAATGTCTAAAGGTTTATTTGTTAATTTAATATTTAATAAACAAAAACGTGACATACCTAGAATTTGAAAACAATTGTTATGAAAATTTCAAATGTATTGATATGAATTGTTTATAGTTAAATTTGATTACAAACAAATAATAAGTAATTATTATTTCTCTCGTAGAGAAGGGACGGGAAATAATTTGTTTGTGTTTTCTCTGTGTAACTGAACGTGTGGACCACGTTGTTACCGGAGCTCATAGACTCACCACCCACCTTGAGACATGAGGTCCAAGTATCGTTTGTAATGTATACGGTGGATCCACTTTTCAAATCAGATCATTTTTTTGGTTTGGTCATTGTTTGGTTATTGGTGCGAAGAGATAAAAAAAAAAAAAAGTTAATGTAAATATATTACATAGGATGACTGTCTATTAATTCCAAAATACAGATATACGATACTCAACCGTATGATCTACTGCGGGCAGGCTGTACTACCCAACGGTAGTAATAGTATGCTATCATCCTTCCTAATGCCAACTTGTATGTATGCCATGTTGCCTAACTTGCATAACTTGATTTCAGCAGTTTATTTCTTCCGTGAAGGGATCTTGCGCTCTGAATGTAATACAAACACCAATATTATGTCTCAAGCTAAATCGCGGCTTAAAATCAAGTAAGCCGTGAACTCGCACGCCCTGTCCTATTAAAAATATATGTTATGAATTTGAAGCATGGACTGCGTTGAATTAAATGACAACACCTACGCTGATGATGCTGTTATACATATTATTGTAATATTTACATTATGTACACAGTACGTACCGACTGTAGCATGAAACATTGAATATTGTTTCGATAATTAGCACGACACATTTGTAAAATAATGGATAAATGACAATTATTTAAGGCTTTATTTATTGTTTTTTCACGCGTTCACTGCCTTGTTGGTGTTCAAGGTTACCGGA